GAGAGAGAGAGAAACGAAAACTCTCCGACCTCGCGGCTCACGCCATGCTACTTCCATCGATAGGATGAGCAACATCCAATGAATCTTCGGCTAGAACATGGAAACATACACCCGCCGATGCATGCACGTCCGCCCACACCCCCCGACTCGGAAACCACGTCCCGATGCCAACACCACATCGCCGCACTGCCGATGCACCCCCGCTCCTGATAAGACGTTCCGATACATGCACGTCCGCACCTCTCTCTCTCTCTCTCTCTCTCTCTCACACACACACACACACACACACAGACACACACACACACACACACACACACACACACATTCCATCGATAGGATGAGCAAAAACGGAATGAATCTTCCGCTGAGAGAGAGAGAGAGAGAGAGAGAGACAGAGAGAGATTTAAGAAGAAGGAAGAAGGAAAAGCGAAGAAGATGAGGATCGGAGGAGATGAGGATCAGAGGAGAAAAAACCTGAGGTTGCACTCGTCACTTCACAACAAAGACTCGGCTTCTTTCCGTAAGATAACTCATACAAAAGCAGAACGCGATGCCTCTCTCAAAAAACTCGGCTTCTTTCCGTAGGATAACTCGTGGAAAAACCAGAACGCAGTGCCTCTACACGTTTCGCTGTCGGTGTCCGACGGCAAGCTCATCAGGAGGCTATAAGTCCAGAGCCCAAATCCATACAACGCAGTGCAACCAACTTCGCTTCAATACTCGATTTCGTGCGCGTGCTCAATCTTGGAGACTCCCTGGCCTACGTATCTATCCTACTCCCTTTCTCCCTTTGTCACTTTGCTTCCCTGCTCCCATCTTCCCTTCCCTCTTTCCTCGGTTCCCTTCCCTTGGAGACCTCGCCGATCCGTCCGTTCTCTTCCTATTGGTTGTTTCCCGCCGTCGCTCTCTTCCCCGCACTCCCTCCACCTTCCAATTTCCCTTCGTCATATACTTCACCGACTCCTCCATCCCAATCGTTCCTCCGACCTCGCCAGTTAAGATGGAAGCAATGGTGCTTCCTTCTCTTGCAGCTGGGCGTTTCGTCGTGGACATACTCACTTTACTTTAAACAAACATCCGAAACCGGCGCTGATGTCGGGTCGTACCTTGCCCCCCCGCTTTTATCTGGTCTCCTTCTCTTTTAATCGGAACAACGATCTTCCGAAGCTCGTGCTCCCGATGACGGGTTCGCAGTCATCCTCCTCATTTACTATTTTACTCTGAAAGACGATTACTTAAAACTCTAGTCCTGCATCTACCAAAACAGGAAAAACCTTTTGATCGTACTCCGTCACTCCTACAACACAAAACATACCCCGAACGAAAACGTATGTTTTTATATATATATATCGTATATATCGTATATATGTATATCTCGTCATCCCTATGGTTCAGTCAGGAACACGGTAAAAAAAACCGAAAAAACCGAAAAAAACGAAAAAAACGAAAAAAACAAAAAAACGGGAAAAAAACGAAGAGCTTGGATCTCCTGCCAATCCTAAGGTATTTCGTCAAAAAAATTGGAAAAAGGGACAAATTGGAAAAATTGGAAAAAGCATCAAAAAGCATAAAAAAGCCGAGAAACCAGAAAAATACCACACAGACAAATGGTCGATTACAGTCTGTCGGTCCTATAGTACACAAACGGACTCAGGCCCACATCCCTGATCCTGTATGCGACAAAAAACCTGGTTAGTTTTGCAGATACTTTACAACTCCGGGGTACATCCTAGAGAGGGAACCTCCCCAGTGACCGCCGGAGACCTTGGCAAACCTTGCCAAGGATGCGAGAGAGAGAGAGAGAGAGAGAGAGAGAGAGAGAGAGAGAGAGAGAGAGAGAGAGAGAGAGAGAGAGAGAGAGAGAGAGAGA